AGAACCTGTTCTGCATGTTATCAAAAAGGGAGATATTGAAGAGGTATGGACTTAAAACATGTGAACTAATGTCCCAGTTGTAAAAAAAAAAAAATGCCTTTGTGTTCTTGCTTCGTAGGAGTTATATCAGGAGGAGACAGTGACCGCTTCCAAAGTACTGGAGAATGTGGAGTTCGTAGAAGTCCAGATTTCTCAGGTGGACAACGTTTTCTGTTGCACCAAGTGTGACCGCAGCTTCAAGCTGTACTACCACCTCAAACAGCACCTGAAAACACACGAGGGCTCCGCAGACAAGCCGCATGTCTGCGACCACTGTGGGCGAGCCTACACTCGGGAGAGCGCCTTAAAGCAGCACATCAGCACGTTTCACTTTGATACAGAGGAGCTGTCTCGGAACCAGAAACCCCCCAAAAAGGTGCACGTTTGTGAATACTGCAAGAAGCACTTTGACCACTTTGGCCACTTCAAGGAACACTTGCGGAAACACACGGGTAAGAAAGAAAAATTAACTGGTTGCGTTCAGTTTGTCTATTTTAACTATCTAACTGTGGCTCATCATACGACCTACACATTATGTGTGTTTGACTTTGTCCATGTTTAGGAGAGAAGCCTTATGAGTGTCCAGATTGCCATGAACGTTTTGCAAGGAACAGCACTCTAAAGTGCCATATGGCAGCCTGTCAGAATGGGGCTGGAGCCAAAAAAGGACGCAAGAAAGTCTATGAATGCCAGGTACAGTTTGCCATAGTGAATGTCACGACACAATCGCACTAGTCTTAACGGAGGCACATTGTGTTCTATATAAAATAGACTGTTGATACAGTCTACACAATTCAAAAATATTAGTTCAGAGGTTAAAAAAAATACACAGGGTTTGGGTAGTGAAAAATACAATTAAAAAAAAGTCTTTGTTTTTGTCTGATAAATTAAGGTTTAAATGGAGGATGATTTAAATCAGCTTTTTTCATCCTTAGGGTCACGACCTCATGTGTTGGTTTCAAAATGAGGTGGCCTGAAATGTCATGTAACACTGATATAATATTTTTAAATTCATTATTATTGTTTTTTTATTGTGATTAAAAACACAATATTAAACCTTAATTTCCATGAATATAAATTGAGTCCAAATGAAATGCAGCATATAAAACTATTTGAGCTGGTGCATTTTGATGGGCTGTAATCACTAGACTGCACAGGTGACAGTTATTGCAATAATGATTTGTGATGTCAAAATAAGGTCACAAGCCAAAAAAGGTAGGGAACCCCTGGTTTACATTCTTATTTTATTGCATGGTGTATACCAGCTATACTATACAGTGTTGCCCTCTTGTGGACACATTGTGTAATTCAAATGTAACAAAAAAGGACTAAAAAAATCATTGTACCATTTTATTCAACATTGTTGGGTTTATTTTAACATATGTGAAGACAAAGGAGACAACACAAAAGATGTCTTGATTTTTTTACTTGCAAGGGGAGTTTACAAAAGTATCAGATTACATATCATGTGGTCGTGTGTGAGTATATGAATGGGTATATATGAGTAAGAAGGTGGGTGTGAATGGGAATGTGGCAGTGTCTGGTAATTTCTCCATCAGTCTTGAGCACACTAGATTATAATATGAGAAGCAAACAGTTTCTTAAAGCGACAGTACAGCATGAAGCAATGATAATAAATTAAATTCTTCCAATAAACATGTATTCATGTTGCTTAACAGAACCACTCCTGTCATTCCTCTGTTCGATTATGACCTCCTGTGTTTCTCCTCCACCTCCTCCATCAGGTCTGCAGCAGTGTGTTCAACAGCTGGGAACAGTTCAAAGGCCATCTTGTGAGCCACACCGGAAACAAGCCCAACCACTGCACCATGTGTGACATGTGGTTCACTCACCCTAAGGAGCTAAACACTCACGTCAAAGAAGTCCATTCTGTTGAGGAAAAGGCCCAGGAGGAGTTGGTCTCGTCTTCACCCTTGACCACCACCACCCTCACCTTGGCAACACAGAACACAGAAGGTGAAAAAACTGTCCTACTGGACAACGGCATCCAGGTAGAGCAGGTCACGGTGCAGCCCATAGACATGATGGAGATGGAGGAGACCACGACGGTCGTGATGGAGGACGGAGGGGTGACGGAGATGTGCCAGGAGGACATGGAGAGACTGAAGCAGGCTGGGGTGGAAATCCAGGTGGTGCATGTGACCTCGACTGAGATCGCGGAGCAGGAGCTGTTGAACTCTCAGGTGGAAGTGCAGGTGGAGGGTGAGGTGCTGAACATGGAGGAGATACAACAAGTTGTCGTATGAGAATGTGACGCGGACAGCGGTGGCGAATCCTGAACTGTCTCGTCGGCGATCTTTTTAGTGTCCACACGAAACACTGCACTCAGGATCCTGCATGTCACTTGACTGTCATGCAGTCAGCCATCACACCTAGTGACTTTACTTTGCCAATATGTATAAACAAAATTGTAAGGCCTGTTGCTGATAATGCTGTATTTATGTCAAAGATGTCCATCATCACAGTCCTTAACGCATCAACAATCAGGCTGTATTTTCATGTTTTTTTTTCTTAGGGCTTTCTTTTATCTTTGAATTTTAATTTTTTTTTTTAGCTTGAATAACGTGACGTGTGGCATAGAGGTGGTTCATTGCTAACACTGCACTTTTGCTTCTGGTTGTTTTTTTTATATTGTTTTATGGTGTTTTTGTAAGAAAACATCCGATATAGTTTAAAATATGTTTACAGAATGGACTATAATAAACAGATCACCTGCACCTAAACACAAGTGTTTATCTGTAAATAGTTGAGGCTTAGTGATGTTCTTTGATCTTACTTTCAAGCAATTGTAGTGAAGCCCAGCTGTAAAAATAAAAAAGGAGCTGAAGTTAAATGAAACAACCACCCCTGTTGCGGGGGCAGCAGTCTCCATGACCGCCATCCAAATCACAACCAGGATTTGATCTTGCCCAGGAGGTGAACCCTGGGGTTCCACACCAATGACAGAGACATTGCCTCTGGGTCAAAGCGCCACTGACGGTTTGTTGTTGTGTGTTTATTTTTATTTTTGGAGTTGTGAAGGGGAGTGGACCTATTCATAGGAGTCACCTGAACAGTTTGTCGTATAGACACAAACATGTTAGATTCAGAGTCTCCAATAAATTACCCTAATCCTAATTTAAACACACAATTTAAACACACTAATAAAATATTAGTCCCTTATTTATCCCTTAAGGGGATCTATCAGTGGGAAACCTGCGCACGGTCTGCTTTCACCTCAAAGAACCTTGTGAGCAGGTATGAATCATTAAGAACCCAGTGAAGACCCACACCGCTGTGCCTCTGGCCCCATCTTGACCCCAGCCCTGCTAATGCCCTCCCCTGCGGGCACGGTTCGTGTCGCACACGGATAAAATTACCTGCCGAGTCTCCGCACTCTGCTTGGGACAAGTCCTGGCTTTAATGAGGTAGTCCTCGGTGAAGGGGAGAGGGGCGGGGGGTCCAAAAAGATTGGCAGTCTCGTCGACCAATCGTAGACGCGCAGCGCGCTACTCTCCTCCAATCAGATGCAAGAATCACAGATGAGCTGCAGGATGGAGCTAAACCGCACCGCAGTCGCAGCACAGAAGCAGTGCTTCCAATGTCAACGGGGAAGACGATGTTTATGTCCAGGTGGAGGAAAAGTGTTTTCAGCGGAGGCTTGTGAAAACAGTCGTCCATGTAAGGCTCGTGAACGCGTCTGTGGCATTTATGGGTCTTTTCCTTATTCTGCGGATAGGATGATGGCAAGATGCGTCGGCTCACAGGCTGGAGAGAGAGAGAGAGAGAGAGAGCAGATGTAAACTGTTGAACGCAGGTAGATACATCACTCCTTATCAACTACCACTATCTTCACACATGGAAAATACATTTTCAGTATGTGTATAAATGGGAACACCAAACGTTGGAGTCGTATCCTGGAGGCCAATCGACCGCTGGAAATGACGTGAATGTAAAGAACAGATTTTTTTTGTTTTAGCCACATTTTTAGAACCTGTCTTAGTCTTTAGTACCGTCTGTTCATGAAAATTAAATTACAACCTTAACCGTCAAATCAATGCAGCACTTTAGACTAGGGCTGTTCCCAGCCTATTTAGCGCCCAGGGCAGCCCCCTCCCGACCCCTGAAGAACTTTTCGTTCATTTGAATTTGAATTAATTTGTATCTGACACTATAACAGTCACGGTGGCCAGTGGATAAAAGGGAACAAATGAACTACAATGTCTGTACTGTCATGAAGAAGAGCTACAGAACATCAACACAAAAAACGTGATGAAATTAAATACATATACATACTATATATAAATAAATTTAAAGACTAATTTTGGCTATTTAATTAAAGACAAAATAACATTTAAAAAAAACACTTTGGTTTGTTACAAAGGTTAAACGTGACGTGATTATGTTGTATGTATATTTGAAACACATATATTTATATTTATATTTACATTTATGCCTATGCTACCAATATCAGACACTGCCACTTATCACAGTACATCACCTGGATTCTGAGTGTGAAGCACACACACACACACACACACACACACACACACACACAGTGTGGTGAATCAAATTTAAGGATGTGCTCAGTGTTTTTTCCAGTTTTCACAGGCTCAAATAAATGATTAAACCTGTTTTTTTTTTCTTTTTGTCCCTATATGGTTTTATAACAGCATTCTCCACCAGGAGCTTTCATCCGGAGCAGTAGATGTTCAAAACTAATTTGCAGAAAAGCTTGTCATTTTTGATTTTTGACTTTATTAGAGCCATTACTAGTCTTGTGCACGGATAAAGGAAAGGTGTTCAGTGTTTCCACTGACAAACAATTCTGTTTGTTAAACAGAAACTAATCCAGTAACTAATGGCTGCAGCCTGGTCAATTAATTAAAATTAATTAAAAAATTGGGACACAGGGAATGTAATAAAGTAGCACTCACCAAAGTCTCTGGCTTTAAAAGCAAGGATTAGCAGTACAGTATCATCAAACTGAGAATCAAACAACAACGATCTTTTACATGTGTGAAATCCAAACGTGCCTTACATGGTGCAGATGATTTATCTGCATGTTCTGTTTTTTGCAGGAAAAAATGGGAATTAGAGTGACTTAGCTGAGACATTTCACATTTGCTCATGTACATATTTATCTAATGAGTCATGTGGAGGCGGCCATGCTGTGTGAATGTTCTCCAACTTCCATCTGACATTTCTCACCTGCTGTCAAACAGAGACATTAAGAAAAGTCTCCTTTTATACATTTACACTCTGCATTAAAAATTCAGACACTGTATATTCTCATTAGAATCTTTAGGATCTGCTCTGTGTCTCCTCGTTGATGCAGAACCTTCTTTAGATCGTCAACACATCAACACATCAACACATCATGTCAAACTGTGTATGACAAACTCTTTTTTTAGTTTCACCAGGAAGCTTTTACAGCTTTTGTAGGATTGTTGTGTTATTGTGATTACTACAGTGTCATGGTAACATTGTCAAGGCCTTAGAGACGACAGCGGCTTCCAGTGTCTACTGGGAATAGTTGCGGTATGTGGGGAATAACAGAGAGTGCTGTATATTTTTCAGGAATAGTCACATTACCTGGTTCCAAATATATAAAAAGATATTCAGCGAAAGTTTTATTTTTTTACTTTAAGTTCAAGTTTGGTTGTCTTTATCAATCTGGGTCTCTGGTTTGAACTGTCTGTCGGGGGGAAAGCTCTGTCTCCTGGAATTGGAAATTGTGAAATATTTGTGCTACAGATTCCATAGAGGCCAGTTCCACAGTTCTTAGGGCCGTAGTTTTCACTGTGGCAGTTCTTTCACTTTTGGGCTCTTTATTCTTGTCAGCCGTGCATCTCAATTAACACACTAGGTCGCTTTGTGTGAAGAGAGGTTGCTGTCGGAGTGAGTGCGTGTCCCCCGTGTGCGTGTGCAAGTGTTTGCCACGAGCAGAGAGGCCTGTGTGAATGTATGTGCAGCGGCACATGTATTGTCTGAAAACATAATAGCTGTGAAAAGCAGGAAAATCGGACTCCTCAGTGTTATTGGGTGGTAGAGCAGGAAGGAGGAGGAGAAGGAGGAGGAGGAGGACGAAGGGGTTGTTAAAAAAGAAAATAAAAGACACAAATGATAACCAGATCAACACACACTGTGGCTGTGTCTGTACAGAGCAGCTCCTCTTTGCTTTGACGCCCTGTAGTAGAGACAGACGATAATGAAAGAGTGACTGATTCTCAGTTCACAGCTGCTGTGGATGGGCTCTCCTATTTTCCGTTGTTAGAGTGTGTGAAGAAGTGGCTGATGCTAGCAGTGCATTCAACACCAAACTCTGCTCCCTCCCCAATAGGGAGTACCAGACAAATGATTGACTGTGTGGTGAGTAAGGACGTGTACTTGGTCAAGTTGCTTTGCTGATGGAACTGCGGTTGTTTTCAGCTTCACAAACGTCCGCCAAAAATGGTCGTTCGTCCAGACTTGGCAGAGAAAAAAACCCCCATGAAAATAAGTACAGCATGAAAAAGGATCAGATTGTTTAGATCTGTTCTGCTCTTGGTGAACATTGTACTGCAGCTACTACAGTGGTTATAGTTTTTTGTTGGATTATTTTTTTAAAAATAGCAGCTGCAGTTATGGTCCACAATGACTCACATAAATCAATGTTTTTCAACCTTGGGGTCGCGACCCAAGTGGGGTTACACACATGCCTTACACACATCAAGGATCTTGGGTTCGAGCTACAGAGGAACCACATATCTTAAATGGTGCTCCCCATGTAGCAGTCTGTAAAATGCAATCACTTATTTAGTAGTGCCTCCTGTGGCAGTCTGTGTGCAAAAACTCTCACTCCCCTAATTTGGGATGAATAATACTCTTATTATTATTATTATTATTATTATTATTATTATTATTATTATTATTATTATTATTATTATTATTTCCCCTATTCACATAACAAGACATCACTAACAGCCTTTTTTTCAACAAAGCTATTGCTTTTTTTTCCCTGCCCTGTTGTGTGTGAGGTCTCTGTCAATATGGCGGCACACTCTAAACTCATGAGTTAGTTCACACACTTAATTAACGCAGGTTCTCCCTGGCTTAGCACAGTCCCATCTCCCCGTGAACACATCAACTGCTCTGTGTCTTAATGCGCCGTGTCAGTTAATGCCTAATCCTCAGTTCTGAGGAGAAGACAAACAAACATGCTGGGTCAATGTTCATCACCAGGCAACCAGCTGGATCTGTTATCCACTGAAAGCAAAGCACAGAGTCGCCCGGGTGACTACGTATGGACCTTCTGTGGAGAGTTCACAGAGATAAAGTCCATGTGATATGATCCAGTCAGCTTTAGTTTAGAGACTTCCTGTCTCGTTGTATCCTAATCACCACGGTCGATATGAAGGGAAAACTGTGATAGACAGTTCCAAAATGTGAATCGGCACTTCGTCACTCTTTGTCAACAACAATGCGCTATGGTGTTCAAAAATGCACAAGCACTTCTTGTTCAGGATATTTTTTGTAAAGTTATATTCAATTAAATATGAAGGCGTAGTAATAAATATCTGATGGCTGACCTGTATGCATGAAAACAAAAGGGAAAATCTCTGACTTATTGTTAATTATGTTGTGATTGGACAGGTCCGGCCCACCTGACGTCTAAACAGGTTGTACAGTATGCGGCCCGTGAACCTAAATGAGTTTGACACCCCTGTTTTCCGGCATTATTTAATATGAAATGTCAGTGTAATCATCAGTATGTTCTGTACGTCTGACGATGCTTTCATTCAGTCCAAGATTCTCTGCTTCTTGTTCTGCTCTGGTCATGTTTGTTGTTGTTACCAAACGCGCAATGTCCCTTTAGTCTTTAGTCTTTAGTCTTTTCATTTACACACATAAAAGGCTGGTATTCAGGCCCTTGTTGCTTTGTGCTGTAAAGTGGAGGCCTCGCTTCTCTTAGCAAGTCCTTTCCCAGCTGCCCGAGATCAATGCTAAGATATTCATGGTGCGATGACAGGGAGGGGTTTGAAAGGGAGACGGACTGTGGAACTGACAAAAGGGAATGGCTTTGATTTCCAGGAGCACCTTTAACATAGATTTATTCATTTTTATACCCAAGGCAGGGAATATATCTTATGAAGCCCTGTGACATTGACTGTATTACACACATACACTCTGTCATTATGTTTTATTATAACATGTCCCTCTGAGCGTGGTAGAATCACTGATTATTTTTCACTGTTGAAAAAATGTTACAGACCTTGATTGATTGATTGATTCAAACCTTTGATCGTATATTTACTTATATTAACAGCTGACAAGCAGTGAACTCACTTTAAGAAATGCTGAACTTTGCTCTTTTATAAAAAAAATGTGTTCTTCAAAGGTTATTGATTTTAGCTTTGGAAGCCTGGAATCAAACCCACAGACCTGCAGGTATAAGACAACGGCACTATCCACTGACCTACAACACAATCCATTATATCCACAGTTCATGGTCAACTTTATGAAAGAGCAGGTTCTCTGGAGTACTCTCAGTTATTGTATTATTATTATAACCTGGAAAAATAACATGGGAACATAACAGGGGAATGAAACCATAACATAAAATGTGTAAAATTACTATTTCTGGCCATAATTTAACACCAAGTATAATGTAATGTATAGTAACAAAGGAAGAACTTTTTTTCTCATTTTACTCCCCAACAAGTCCTTACACTTTAGGGTTGTTTTTTTTAGTAAATAATTCTAATTATAAATTTGGTATAGAATTACCATCTTTGTTTGTTGCATAAACAAGCATTTGTTAACACCTTAGATTCCATGAATATGATTGGATTACCCTTAAATATTTTTTTAAATGTCTAAAGCAAACAATTTGGTGATAGAAGTTGTACTTAAAAAATAAAATGTTATATTTCCCTA